ATCCTCGAGCTCGCAAAATTTTGATGTTTCAATCGTTCGTTTTTTAAATTCTGAACTTGAGGTTGTCGAACTTTTCAAATTTGAGTTTGAAATTCTTGAACTTTTAAACTTCGAACTTGAAATTTTTGAACCTTTGAACTTTGAACTCTAAATTCTCGAACTTTCAACCTTGAACTTGTAATTCTCGAACTTGGAAATTTCGAATTTTCAATTCTCGAAGTCGCAAGGTTTTGACATTTCAATTTTTCAACTTTTAAATTTTGAACTTTCGATTCTTGAACTTTCGAATTTCGAACTGTAAATTCTCGAAGTTTTAAAGTTTGACCTCTAAATTTTCGAACTTTTGACGTTGAACTTGAAATTCCCGAACTTTCAAACTTTGAACCTCGAAATTCTCGAACCTCGGGAAACGCGAACTTTGAAAATTGCGAACCTGCTAATTTTGGAACTTTCGATTCTCGGACGTGCAAATTTCAAACTTTCAATTCTCGAGCTTGTGAAATTTTGAGCTTTCGATTGTTGAATTTTCAAATTCTGAACTTGAAGTTCTCGAACCTTTGAAACTTGTGCTTGAAATTCTCAAACTTTTAAACTTTGAACTTGAAATTTTTGAACTTTTGAACTTTGAACTCTGAATTCTCGAACTTGCGACCTTGAACTCTGGATTCTCGAACTCGCGACCTTGAAATTCGAGAAGCTCGAACTTGGAAATTCCCGAACGTTGGAAATTTCGTACTTGCGTGTTTCGAATTTTCAATTCTCGAACTCGCCAGATTTCGACCCTTCGATTCATGAACTTTTACATTTCGAATTTTCAATCCTGGAACTCGGAAAATTTCGAGGTTTCAATTCCTCGGATTTTCAACTTGGAACCTAAAATTCTCAAATTTTTAAACTTTGAACTCTAAGTTCTCGAACTTGCGACCTCGAACTTGAAATTCTCGAGCCTCGAGAAAGTCGAACATTGAAAATTTCGAACCTGCAAATTTTCAACTTTCAATTCTCGAACTTGTGAAGTTTCGAACTTTCGATTCTGGAACTCGCGAAATCTTGAACTTTCGATTCTCGAACTTCAGGTTGGAACTTGAAATTCTCGAGGTTGAAAATTTCGAAATTGGAGAAATTCTCGAGGTTGAAACTTTTTGAACTTGCAAGGTTTGGAGCCTAAAAACGTCGGACAGTTCAAAGTTTGAACCTGAAAATCTCGAACCTTAAAAAACTCGAACTTGGAATCTTGTCGAACTTTTGAATTTCGAGCCTCGAATTCTCGAAGTTTCAACTCTCGAGCCTAAGATTCTCGAAGTTGGAAACGACGAACGATTCACCGATGATTCGCTCGTCGCTGACTCTCGGTTGGACATTCTGAGCGCCGTCTCTGGGTCGCGCGCGGAACTAACGATACGCGGCGCGTTCAAAGTTGCTTCTCTCGTTTCCCTTGGAATTCTGCAACTTTTAAACTTTTGACTTGAAATTCCCGAACTCCCAAACTTTGAACTTGAAAAGCTCGAAACTCTCGCAAGTCTCGAACTTTCGATTCTCGAGCTTTTGAGTTTCGAACTTTCGACACTCGAACTCGGAAAATTTTCAATTCTCGAAGTTTTGAAGTTTGCGACTTGAGGTTCTCGAACTTTTGACCTTGAACTTGAAATTCTGGAACTTCGAAAAGCTCGGATTTGGAGAAATTTGAACTTTGAAACGTGGAACTTGCACAATTTCGAACCTGAATACGTTGAACTCTTGAAATTTCGAATCTGCGAATTTCAAACTTTCGATTCTTGAACTTTTAAATTTCAAACTTGAAATTGTCGAACTTTTGATCTTTAAACTTGAAATTCTCGAACTTGTAGTTCGAGCTTGAAATTCTCGAACTTCGAGGGACTGGAGCTTTGAAAATGTCGGACCTGTAAATTTCGAAGTTTCAATTCTGGAAGTTGCAAGTTTGGAACTTTCAATTCTCGAACTCGCTGAATTGCGAAGTTTCGATTCTCGAACTCGCGAAATTTGGGAGTTTGAATTCTCGAATTCGTAAATTTGGAACCGAGAATTCTCGAAGTTTCAAACTTTGAGCTCGAAATTCTCGGAGCTGGGAAAGCTTGAACTTGCAAACGTCGAACTTGGAGAGACTTGGACGCGAAACCATGCAACTTTGAAGATATCGAATCTGAAAACGTGGAACTGGCAGAGTTCGAACCAGAAATTGGCGAACCTCGAAAAAGTCGAACTTGGAAAAGTTGAACTTTGAAAATTTCGAACCTACAGACGTCAAGCTTGCAGTTTTGAAATTCTTGAACTTTGAAAATGTCGAACCTGGAGACTTTGAACCTACGATTCTCGAACCCGGAAACGTGGAAGCTCGAACGTCGAACTTTATCTCCGGATGATTTGCCGCTCCTTCGCTCGGCGGCGAATGCCGATACGGACACGGTGGCGCCATCTCTGGGACGCGCGGCGAACTAACAGCGAGAAGCGGCGTGTGGGAATCTGCCTCGCTCTTTATTTCTCTGGTTTTCAGCGAAATTTGCAAGTGAATTTCGACGAGATCAACGTTTCAAGGTCAACGGCAAGTCATTGCTCTCTCTTCAGTTGCGCCGCGGAACAATATCGTTGCGGCAGCTGTTTCTACAAGGGACGGGTAGACATTAACAACGCAATTTCAGATATCACTGTCTATTATTATTCGTACAATTGTACATGGAAAGTCGGTGGAGGTACAATTCCTACGGGACTGGACAGGTTATCGCACGTTGCAACGCGTTGTTGGCGCAATTTCAAGTGGAGCGAACGATATTGCTCGAGGCAGGTCGTTGGAGAATGTAAATTTGCCGGTCGTTGTTGCGACGTTCGTAAAGGCGAGTTTCCACGCGCGCTTCGCTGCTACGTCTCTGGGTGAATTTCTCGGCACCGATTGCCCGCTCGTAGACACGCTGGCGCCGTCTCTTAGCCTTGCACCGAACTAACGAACAGAGGTGCTTCGTTCAAAGTTGCTTCGCTGCTTTCTTCTTCTTTCCAGCCAAATTTGCAAGTGAATGTCAGCGAAGTAAACGTTTCAAGGTCGCTCGGAACTGCTCTTTGTCTCTTTTCTTCGTTTCTGTCGTCGTTTTACTTGCTTCTCCGATCTCGTCGAACTGGAATATCTGTAACATGGTTTCGTTCGATTTGTTTCCGTGCAACTTGATTCGATGGTACATGGGTGAAGAACGTCGTTTCGTCCGTTTCAAGATATAACTCGAACAGTGTGTATACCGTTTGACGTGGTATATCGTCTCTGCGCTTACCGGGATAATACTGTCGCTGTTTGCAAGATCCAATGTATTGCGTGCACTTGAGTCGATATCTACTTCAACAGCGTTAAACGTATCAATGGTAGGAGGCGTGTAGTTGAACGACAGTGGCAATTGATACACGATTCAAGATATTATCACTCTGGTTGCGGTTCGACTCTGTTGAATACAAGTTGTATCGTTATTATTATTACTATTATCGATACATTATCAATTATCATACATTACCAATTACTATATATTACCGATAGAATCGACGCATTAGCAATCATTACTTGTACAAGACTGTGTACGCAGTTTAATACTCTGTGTAAGAGTATGCATCTGGTGGAACGATACCATCGTTTCATGCATCAACGCGCTATGTTTATTACGCTGTGCGTATGTAGCTGGATGCTATTAATGGAGTGCATTGCATCTGTGATTCTGTTCGTCAGGTCGAACAACGCTGTCTTCGCTTGGTACGTCTTGCAAGTTATTATTTCTACAAGGCAGAGGGATAAAGGACACAATTTCAGACATTGCCACGTGTATTGTTAGTAAAACGCTACACGCGTATGAATAAATACCAGTGTCGGACGTCGGTGGCGGATGTAATTTGTATGCCGCACGAGTCTCAATCGCTGACGGTACTTTGTACGTCGTTGGAGGCACAAGTCAGACCGCGGTACCCGCGCGTATCGATAAATTATTCAAGACGAATCGATGTATTTCACGCGTCGTTTCGACAATGGTAACTACACGGCTGTCAACGACGTTACTGTGGGCGTTGTCGAAGTTGATAAGAAGAGGCTATAGCTGCGTCCAAGTCGAACGTTTTCAAGTTGGCATTGTTGATACGAAAAGCCGACTCGCCACGGTATCTCTCGCCGACTCTCTCCGCACCGACGGCTGCTTCGCAGACACCGTGGCGCCGTCTCTTGGTCGCGCGAGGAACTAACACTGAGAGGCGCTCAACGCGTTTCCACGTTTCGATTCTTTCTTTGCGTATTTATTGAAAAGTTGTTGATATCTTAAAAGCGATTGCACCTGCGACTACGGTGGCAATTAACGTTGGAAGATTCGATCAAGTTCTTTCTCTTGTCCGTTCCTTCGTGGTAAATTTTCAATTCCGAGCTACTGTTTCTTACGTGTTTCAAGTTATTCGTCTGCAATTTTATTCGTGGAAGCTTTGGCATATCGATTCTCGTTTCTTTTTTAATCATTTTCTTTCACTGATTAATTTATTCTTTCGTCGCTGGTGGCAAGCCAGCTGGATACAAGAATTTCTTCGACTATTCCAGTTCTTTCTCCCGTCTCTTTGCTTCTAATTGTGTTGTTCGTTTTTCTTTTTCTCTGGCTTCTTCGCAAATTCTTGAGCTTGAAATTTAATTTCTTTCGAATATTAAGAATTTCAGCTTCGATTTCTGTTTGATGTCTGTAACGGGAAGTTGCATTGTTGGAAAATGTGTAGCTACAATGTTATCTTGTTCGTTTCCTTGTGTTTGTCGTAGGACGTGTTATATATACACGATATATTGAACATTGCCTTGTATCTCTGGTTTTAATTTTTTCAAATATTACTTGGCAATTATTTCTTCCAAAAGGAACTAGTTCGAGTTTAATTTCCTTGATCGCGAATGTGTTCGTTTCAATTTTAATTCGTTGAGTTCTATTTCTACGAATTCTTTATTTCTACGAATTAGAAATTTAATTCCTTCGAATTCAACATGTTCAAATTCAGTTATTTTCTTTTTTTTCTTTAACTTTATTATTATTATTTATTTCCAATTTCGTTACTATTATTATTATTACTGTTGTTATTATTACTATTATTATTATTATTGTTGTTGTTGTTGTTGTTACTATTATTATTGTTGTTATGATTATGATTATTATTATTATGATTATTATTATTACTCTTTCGAATACATTACTTCAACTTCAATGTTATCGAAGCTAAATCAGTTGAATCTTAATTCTCTTGGACCTAAATAGCTCGAACTTTGAATCTCTTCAACCTGAATAACTTGAATCTTAATTCTTCTGCATTGAAACAAGTTGAACCTCGATTCTCTTGAACCTAAACTATTTGAACCTTACTTTTCTCGAACCTAAACCATTTCAACCTCGATTCTCTCGAACCTAAAGCATTTCAACCTTGGTTCTCTCGAACCTAAACCATTTGAACCTCGATTCTCTTGAAATTAAAATCACTTGAACTTCAATATTCTTGAACCGTAATCACTTGAACCTCAGTGGTTAGGTTAGGTTAGGTTAGGTTTAGGTTAGGTTAGGTTAGGTTAGGTTTATAATAATCTAAAACATATAATCACCGGCCAAAACATTACCTGAGCCTCTACGGTCAGATACTTGCGAGTCATCTTGATCCAAAATCACGTGGGAAGCACCCGCGATACATAAAAGATCGCAATTGGCATGTCCAGCACTCCACAGGATATATCCTCTCGTTGTAAAGAATAGCAAACTCAAGACACTCGCGTTAAACTCAAATTCTATATAACCTGCGTTAGATTCATTGTCACCTACGGATATCAAATCTGGGCATCCGCGGCCAAATCGCACGTCGATAAAATTCAAAAAATTCAAAACAAATTCTTAAGAATGATATGTAAAAAACCGTACGAAAAACAGCTACGCTATATCGTTGATATACCAAGCATAAAAGGATTCATTAAAAATTCACTCTCTACTGCGTATCAATCGGACCGTCACAACCCACTTATACGCAACACAGGCAATTACGACATTCCCTGCATCCCTCTAAAAATCAAAACCAGGCCTACCGAAACACGTTGCAACGCATATGTAACACCGGTACATGTATCGTACGCTCGAGATCACGCGCAAGTTCAGCAGGTTTTTTGAAACTTTTAACCTGCAATCCCCACCCTACGCTTAACACTACGCGTAATCCTTTCAAGATCACGTTGATCTAAAATCTTTCACGTTCGATACAAGTTACAGGGACTCTGCAGCCCAGGTACTGTACGAACGATACTCGAGGAAAGAAAAAAGACGGACGCAATTGGATTTTATCCGAACTGCTGAACGAATCGAGCAAGCTGCGCCGTTTTTGTAACACCGGGCTGCGTGATTGTGTGAAACTATAAATTACAGAGATGCGTTATTATATTTCTTACATGTTGTATATTGTGCCTTTACTGTTTATGTGTGTGATAGGAACAGCGAGAGTCGACGTAATGGACGTTGCGCGAGGCGATTGAACTGACGCGTATTCTGCTGCGTACTCTGAATGCACTTTTATATTACTCTTACTAATGCGGTGGTCCTTGTATAGGCCAACTTTCTTTGTGTCCTTCCCGATCACGTGATAAGTTATTTTATGGCTAAGATGTGCTATCGGCAAGGTCAATCCTATAAAAGTAATTCTCGCAATCACTTTGTGGACCTAACCGTACTGCTACTATCCTAATGTGTTGCCTGGATAGTGAATATATTCTATCTTCCCTGAATATGAAAAAATATGTTGGAACAAAGTTATTTAGTATCAAATGATAAATATTATCACTTTTTTCAATAAAATTATTTCTTTCGAGTTTTCAAGGTTATTGTTGTTTTTTAAGTAGTGATGATCTCTTTCCGTATCATTGCAGGCGGAGAAAAATAAATTTCACATATATCGTATATTGATTTCGAAATGATCGGATGTAAAAAGATTGTAACAATTTGTGGGAAATGATCGACTGAAAATATTTTTATTTCTTTCTTGAATGTTTATCTGGCAAGAAATGTTCAATGTGATTTTTATTGGCTTCGAGCTATTTTCGGATATGATGTATAAGAAATAAGATTACACGTTGGGTCGTAGCTGTGGCAATAGCGGTACACGTATATGGTATCTTTTCTTGTACGTTCTTCGGTGCGATAGGATTCTCATTGTAGCGATATGTAAGACTAATTGTAAGACTACTTGCAATCGTTCTTGCGCAACGATTGCACCGATATCGATCGTTGTTCGGAAGCGATCGTGAATCGCGGAATATCAGTGTGCTCGTAGGCCTGGTCGTATTCCGGAACAAGATTTTCTCAAGTCGCATGAGAATGATATTCCGTGGAGAGTGCCCTCGCTTCCGTCCTGCTCTCGACAAAAATTGGAAATACGAATGTAAAAACCATCGCGGAATTGCGGCGAGTCGTTTAATTGTTAATTTGTAATATCTTGATTATTGGGTTTGCTTGATTCTGATCTTTTGTTAATTTTTGGTCTTAAATTGTGTCGTTTAAATTTTTGTTGCGATTGATTTTTGTAATTTTAGTCAAGGCTGTATAATTGAAAACATCAGTTTTCGACCTTTGTTTATGACTGACAACTTCTGAATCGCTGTAATATATTCGATCCTTGAATTATGTTACATTGGAATCGTCATTGATCTTATAAAACGACCAAAGTCGATTGTCAACTAGGTTGCAACGTAATAGCATTGATGTTTCACTTTTTATAAAGAGAAAGAAGAAAAGAATGAAATTTGGCTGGTTGGTAAACGACTTTTTGTATGACGATTTATCCAGCAGCGATTGGAGAAAATTTCATTGAATGCATTTCACAATGTACAGAATATTCGTCATTTTGATATTTCTTGTAAAAAGAAATAGAAAAAAAAAAATCTTTTATCGATCACTTTCGAATTACCATGATTTTTCCATACCTAAGGTTACCTAAAAATGGACTCGTATCTATATTTTTGAGATATATCTTTTTTCGGTTATAATAATATGGAAAAAAAATTATGTCGTCGCAATTAAAAATACTGCAATGATCTTCGGTACTCGAAGGAAAATCATTTTGAGAATCATTATACGCCGCGATATTTATGTTTCGAAAGTAAAAAACTTTATCCTGACAGGTTTTTTTGTATTATTGAAAATATCAAAGATATCGAGATGAGCATGCTATATTGGGAAAAGTTGTTTAGAATAATGATGTTGACAAGATATTTCAAGGTCTTTAAAATCAAGGAGTATTCTTTTCCAGATAATAAATAAAAAATAGATAAAGATACTCTGACAAGAAGTGCGAAATCTCGAATGAGATGGCTGTATGCGTTGGATGTTTTAGGCTAATTTTATTGAGAAATTGATAAAAAAATGTTAAGCGTACAGAGATACGAAGATTATTAGCGTGTAACAAGATTAAAGTTATATTTAGAAATGTTGTAAAATTATGTTTTCAAAGTGACATTCACGATCAACGTTCCATTTGCGACAATGCAATTTCTTTTATGAGCAATTTCTTGTGTTCTGTTTTTATTTCATTACGATTTCCACGCGTAAAATTGTAAAAGGACGCGTGAGTACTATGGTGAACGATAATAAAGATAGTAATAAAGATATAATCAAAATTTTATTAAGCTGGATTGTAAAAATTTAATATATTAAACGAAATAAACGTTATAGATTATTACTTGTATTACTTGTGTATATTTACGTATAATCAAGTACAAATGACGTTCGTTTATATCTCCGCATGCTCGACATAATTTCATTAATTTCTTAAAGATAAAGGACCATGCGCTAAAGCTCTTTTTACCATTAACCAAAAATATGGAATGCGCATAGAGCTCTCGTTTGAGATTTCACAATTTTTGTCACCTTGTGAGAAAGATTATTCTTTTCAAAGTTTGGACCGCGTGATTAAATTATTTTGTAAAAGAGGCAGAATTAAATTTAAATTTAAAAAGAAATGATCGAAACCTCTTGTTGGAAAAGATATAAAAATTTGTATTGACTGCGGTAGTGTTATAACGAATAGGTAAGAGATACAATGTAGGTGTACTTTGATAGATATCTGTGGTATCCGTTGATACTCTTATCGATCAAACATATCGATATATTCTTTATACGGAGAACTGGTTTCTATTATTTTATTATTAGAGTACAAGATACGATACATCGACTTGCGTGTTGTTAGTTTTTTATAATACGGTAAATATACCATATTGATTAATTTATAATTGAATACGTGATTGAAAGAATTATTGTTACATATATGTAGCAAGATATTATTCCTTTAGGTAAGTAATAAAGAATATTAAAAAATGTTAAGAAGAAGAAAAAAAAGGAGCAAACTTGTTCGAATGAACGAAGAGGAACGTATGCGTTATATGCAACATCGTCTTGAATTTGAATTAGAAACTAAAAGACGTAAACAACAATTAATTGCTGTCTTTGCAAAGGTATGTTATTTATTAAATTTTCTTGTTATGTTTGAGATAAACTTACAAAAATTATTACAGAACAAATTAAAACGCGAAGAAGTATTTTCAAAATTGAATATTGCAAAAATTAATGAAAAATGGAGATATGTTTTGCGACAAATAAGATGCAAGGAATTTCATAAAAACGTAAAATATCTCCGTACAACTTTTGATGGAGTAGTAAAAATTAAAGATGCAACAATTTCTTATTTATATAATGAACTAAAAATAGTAGATACAAATCATAAAAAACTTCAAGAAACTTACATTTTATTGATCGATAATATAATTGGTATTTTTTAAATTATTTACATAAAATAATGTATCCCGAATATTATATTACTATTTTCAAATTTATACGAACCTGTGATTCTTTTTTAATGTTATACAGCGATATATAAACGGCAATTGGTAGAGTTACATGATATGTATAAATTAAATAATGTTAAAATGAATAGTATGATAGAGCTAACTGAATTGAGAAATTACATAGGACGATATAAAGAAATTGCTAACAATATAACCAGAAGATGCATAATTTTTGACCAAACGCAAACTATAAGAAAAACATACAACGCTACTAATATTTTTAATATTTTATATTTGGTAATAACTTGTTTGACAATATTCATTTACCGTGTAAGAAATTAATGAAAATTTAACAACTGATTTTTATAAAATATACTAGGGGAAGGACGTGGCGTCGGATTTTAAATATCAAGCTTTTTTAAAAGTAGAAAAGTTTTGGGAACAGTTGTGTAGAATAATAAATGAATGTCAAAGAATAGTTGAAAACAAGAAAAAGCAGTATGAATATCTAAAGGAACAAGATGATGTTCATCAAATGTGTATATTACAGTATCCAAAGATATATTTACAATTGCAAGATATAACTGAAACTTTAAAAGTCAATATACGAATACTATCGCAAAAGAGAAAAGTACAAATTGCAAAACTTAAAATGAAAGATACAAACATACGTGAAAGATACAAAGATATTAAATATAAATTTACTGTAACTCGAATGATAGATTCTGTACGGTTGAAAAAAATGATTGTTAGAAGCAATGAAGTTTTGAGAGTAAGAACATGTATATTCTTTTTTTTTTTACTATAATTCTTTCCTTAATTTTTAGGATATAACGATGCTTCTTTTTCCTATAGCACTTGCAAAGAATTTTAAAAAAAAGTTCCACGATTCTTGAACTAATTGAAATATGCACCACTTTGGAACCTTTATTTTTTAATTTGAAGAAATATTTTATGCAAAATGCATTTTATACTGAATACGTCGATCTTAATGTAAGAGATAGAATGAAATAAATATATGTTATTGCAATGATATTGCAATGATATTCCAAATTATTTCAGATTCCTGAATCGTGTGCTAAAGTCGAAAATTTTTGGCAATATTATAATTATATAAAAGGAAATAATATTTTATTAAAAAGACAAAATAACGAACTTTGTAGAGAGAATAAAAAATTGAAATGTAAACTGCAAGTATATTTCTCGGTAGATTTAGGTATGTTGATATATTTAATTACTTCGTTGTTTTATTTTTTATTATAAATAAAAAAAAAATATAGTAAAAGCGAGAATCTATATATTATAGTTTTTATTTAACATATACCAATTTTATTTCAGGAATAGTTACGAACACGAATTTTAAGTCCCTCGATAAAGAGAAAGAACGCACCTAACGAATGTAAGTGAGAAAAACTATCTGATCTTTATCGATGAATATAGATCGTGTTTTGCTCTCAAGATGTAAAGCATCGAGGATCCTTACGATTTAGTCATAATGATTCTATTGTAATTTAAACGTGCATTGTTATATCAACGCTAGAGTATAGTTGTTTTGCAAAAATATATCTACATATATTTTTATATTATATTAAATCGTTATTATATCATATTAAGACTAACGATGAATAAAAATTCCACCTCCTAATTCTAAATATTTATATGGTCTGGCACGAGTACGACCTTTAACAGAATGAAAGAAAATTTTTTCTTTTGGTACAAGAGCCTCTGATTCCAAATAAATGTCAAAGCATGCTCGTAATCGTTGAAGTTGTGCAGATAATGTTGGCTGTTTCATCCACATGACGTTTACTTCTCTTTCAATATCTCTTAAAATATCTGCAGACGCGGGTATTGTAGGATTTATACTTGTACTAAATATCGGTGCTATTTTTGGATAATCTGGTTTTATAGCTATTCTAGCAATTAATTCGTCTGAAACAAATCGTAAGTTGAGTAATAAAATAAATGATAAAATAAAATAAATATTAAATAGTTCTACGTCTTACAATTGCCTCGACTAAGTGTAGCCTCGTAAAAGATATCCAATGAAGATACTAGTCCTTGTTCTTGAAAAATGGGATTTACGTTGTTGCAATAATTATTCCATGAAATTGTTGAGAATTTCTGTAAAACCGTGCTAAGCTTTTGTGGTAAAAGATCGTTATTGGCAGTAAAAATTGGCAAATTTCCGCACTCCAATTGTCTAATTTCTGTACATAATTCTAATCTTGCTATTACGCGTCTTTTGATTTCTCTCAATACACATTCAACGCTATCTTGGGTTGTTTCACCATTCGTAAACTGAAAGATATAAGTATACAGATTATTTAAAAATAATTTTTACTAAATGACGTGTTGTTATAACGATATAATTATATTAAAATTTTTATACTCTCTGTTCTCTAGCATCGGGAGAAATGAAGTGTAATCCAGCCATTCTTTGTACCCATTTATATGGGATTCCTAATCCAAGTGATGAAAATTGGCCCAAATTATACCGATTTAATTGGTAATAATTGGCAGGATTTGGACTCTCTAATCCTAAATCTCGTGGATATAACTCGCGTAAAATAGATTCTGATATAAGCATATCTCTGTTGAAGAAATAAAAAATGATTTGGAAATAATTATAATAGAGGAACGGCAATAATTTACAACAACAATTACACATAATAAAAATATAATGTAAGAAGAAGCAATATAAGAAATGTAATGTACCCTGTACTAATATCCATGATACTGTCGGTTTTTAATTTTGATTCCACAGTTACAATTTTCAAAGACATCATATAATAAAACTGCAATGTCAGTTTTGTTTCATCTGGAAGAGATTAATGTTTTAAAGTGTTCAATTTCAAATTACAATTATGTACAAATCTTCGTGCTAACTTTTCAATTTAATAATTATTTTCACGTTTAAAGGATGTCTTTGTAATAATTTTATTTTTTTCTCTTCTTGCCTAGCTTCTTTGGATAACCTATGATGTCTCTTCTTATGCACTGGAGTTTCTTCTATGACATTTTCAGAAACAGTTTCAGCATCTGAATCAGATTCTTGTAGTCCGTCTTGATTGTTTGCACGTTTTGCTTCTTCTTCGTCGCCTTCCACTTTTACTGTTATAGAATTATCTGAAAGAAAGTCAACGTAAAAATAAATCAATAAAGTACAAAACACTTGGATAATAAAAAGATAGTACCGTATGCGTCTCTGTATGCAGATGCCTTTGCATAAAGAACATACAGAGGTGATGCGAGCAATGCTGCTTTACGATGTTCTTGTCTAACTTTGTCCAACAACAAACCAAGACTCTCTTGCAATGGCTTGCTTGCCTAAACAGATTAATAGTATTCTTAACATTGATAATAAACGATGAGTAATATTTTAAAGATATGTTAACGATACTTCTAATATCGAATGAAGTTGTGGTGCAAGATTATCGAGTCTAGTTTGTTTTGATTCGATACTTAATGCTACTGCCTTTTTGTTTTCTGTCAATTCGTCGCACAAAGCGGCTAATTGTTTTCTTTGTGTCAATTCCCATTCTAGACGTGCCAATCTTAATCGATGAGGATTATGCTTTGTTATTTCCTAAAAGCATTGATTTGTATAATATTGTAGATAGAGATAATTTCCACTTTTTATTTCGTACCGGTCTGGAAATATTTTGAGGTGCTTCTTTGTAAAACTCTTCTTCCGATACGAGTTGTATCAATTCGTCTTTAGACCTAAACGTTAACGCGTATATGTTAAATAAATTAAATAATGTCAACTAAATAGATATACTAAGAATTTTAAATAAACAACAATTACTTGAACTGAAGACATTTGACAACTTCTTTCTTTAAATGCATGACCTCGTACAACAGATTTTGTAAATGTAAATGTTTACTGTCGACGCTACTTTTTGAAGATATAAGAGAATCTCTTGCAAATTTTGTGCGAAATTTTTCCATTCTATTTAATTTTTTGAGTTCGATAAATGCTAATGATGTTTGAATTTGAAGTTCATGTATTTCGTCTTTAGCCTGAGAATATAAAATTTAAGCTTATCGAATGATATATTATATTTATGATTTATATAAATATATTTAGTTTATACTTGATCGATATACAAACATTTGCATCTCCGTTGGATTTTAATTTAGCAATTTTATTCATAGCTTTACGTATATCATCGCACGTAGATAGAAAACTTTCAGAATCATTTTCTGGTAAATGTTCCATAGCTTCCTTTTCTTCGTAACTGATTATAACCTAAAAATGTACAGATGCAATAGATACGATAGATATTTTAAAATTCGTATACGAATACTTAAAAATTCAGAGAGATTGTTTATATTCTTGAGATTGAAATTATTCTTACCTTGTACGTATCTCCGTCTTTCAAAGACATTCCAGAATTTCCACTAACTGATTTTCTTCTTTTTTTTGTATTGTCAGAATCATTTTCTTTGCCCATCGTTTTTCTTTTGATTTTGACAAAATTTATTATGCGCTAGATATTTAGTATTTACTTATTTTCGTTCGCGTTCTAATTATAATTAAAATAATTAAAATTATTACAT